CCTCAGCATTTAAATTATTTTAAACAAAAACCTTTGAGACAGATTATCACTTCCTTAAGTTGCCTCTGCTGGGCTCAAACTTGGGATCCTCCTGCCTTAGTCTACTAAATCTGTAGAATTATGTATATATGCCAACACAACTGACCAATAATAATTTACTTTGATTTTACTCAAGAAATTCCTTCTTTCAAATCTTCTCTTCTACATGATCATTTTTCTTTTTAAAATAGGAATCATAGGTCCGAGGATATAGCTACATAGCTCAAACAAGAGCACCTGCCTGGCAAACTCAAGGCGCTGAATTTAATTCCTGGTACAAAACAACAATAAAATGGAAATCATAGAATCAGAATCATCAGAGATCATAAAAACAATCCAAAGGACTACTGTTGCATGGATTCTTTCTATAAATTTTACAAGAGGCCCTTTATGTCCATCTGTACTCTGGACCAAAAGAAATGAAAGAAAACTAGGAGATACTACTCTTTACACAAGGGACAACATACCACTAAAGTGTAGGACCTAGCCGTGGTCTCCTGATTTTCTATTCTTGGATCCGGTCTCTCATCATATTGGGAAGAATTCTGTGAAGCATAGACTCAATTTTAATTTTAGATTATTGAAAATATGACCACTGGGGAGTTAAACAGCACTTTATTTTTCTTTTTCTGAGAATTTAGATCACCTACTCATGACCTTTACATTTCAATGATCCTGAAATTTAAAGATATTTTTTAAAGGTCTACCTCATGTGAAAAGAACTATAAGAAACTTTTATTGCCATTATAGAGAATAAGTTAAATCATAAGATAAAGTAAAGTGCAAAATGGAGGTTAAGACAACAGGTTTTGGAAAAGGGCTCTGTGGCTTCAACCCCAACTTCCCAATTAGGTAGCTTTACAATCTTAAGAAGTCATTTAACATTTTTTGAAATTTTTGTTTACACATCTATACAAAAGAAAGAAAATATTTTTCTATTGACTAGACCTTTAAGAGGATTAAGTTAGACAATCTATTTACAGCACTTTGGTATATGGCACAAGTTTTAAGTACATTTAAGCAGCTTCACCCATCAGCTAAAGTAATAGAAACATAGAATTTGGTTTTTAAATGCTCACCTGTTAATTTTTCATTTGTTTTAGAATCTCAAAACTTGAGTGAATTTCCTTGAGCTTTATTTTGAACTAAGAATAGTACTTTAAAAATTTCAGAGTACAAATTGCCTAAAAGGAAATTTCATGTGTCCAAATATAATATAATCCATATGGATTTTATCTTTTGCTAACTCCCTGAATAAAACAATTATTCAAACTAACAGAACATGCACTTACTGTATTTTGAAAAGGTGTGCCAAAATTTAACAAGCAAGAGTCAATAAAAATTTCACAAGGTATATTTTTTATTTGTAGCATCAGAAGCTTACTAGTCACTTCTGGTCACTATCTAATCAGTAAAAGCAGTGAAGACTTCATGTGACAGACTGAGC